GGACTTAATACGAAGACGAGACACGCGAAGCGTGCCGAAGCCTTTTCGCTCTAAACGAAGAACCGTAGCACGGTGGGAAGTCAGGCAATACTTTTTGGATTGAATTTGTATTTCTCCCTCCTTTCGCACTGAACCCTCGTGCGCATTTTGCGACGTGCGAAAAACGGTCGACTTACTCCATCGGACCAACACGGGGGATTTCAGTCCTGTCTGTGTCCCCACACTCAATTTCCAAAAATCCTTGGCACACCCCATCTTGCTGTTTTTCTGGGCCTCTTTTTCCGCACCTCTAGCACTCCGAACGAAAGACAGCACAGGGCGTGAGGTTGCGCGTCACAAGGTAGACTCGTTGCCATCTCTCCGTGGCTGTTATCAGTGGAGTTTTGACCAGCATCTGTACCTCATACGCCAGCTTCAGTGAGAACCCATCCAACATGAGAGTGTCGCCTTTTAAGCCTCTTCCTCTCCAGCCCCATTGGTCCGGGTCGGTCCTCAGATCCACAATCGACTGACCAGAATTCCACAGAGCCACTTTCCATGTTCCTTCTTCGTTAACCGATTCCCTGATCAACTCCTCAAATTCTGATCTAGAAGCACAGTAAAAGGGGCGGATTCTGAAGAAAGAAACTATACATGCTCAATCCATCCGCCTGAAAAACTCTATGAGACCACCTGAGAAATCAAAACATTCCTTGACACCCTCAGACCACCTGAGAATGCATTTTTCGAGGTGTCACCGCTAGTGTTAGTAGAGTATCAAGCGTAGCCGAGCCAGGCCCATAGTCTACTTTGCAGAGGAGAGTGGGACGCTGGACCGGTTTGCCAGCACGAGCCGAAGCTGGGTTATGGCCCCAGTACTCCGGGTTGAGATGTGTGGAGGGTTATTATAATGACAACATTCTGTCCCAACGAAGTTCGTGAATGGAGTGGATCTGACCGTAGGCGCCTGTCTTGTTGAAGGAAATCCGCGAATGGTGTCCGATAGGCCGAAACGAGTTCACCAGACTTCACCAAAATTTCCTGCCGAGATTGAACAGCTGGATCAGGTGGAGCGGTAACAAGTGGGCCCTGGTTGGTTGATTCGGAGATCGGCCGCCGAGCAACGCACGAGCCTGCTTGGGGAGCTCATGTCCGTTTTTTTTTTTGGCAGTAAAGGGATGAACCTCCTTGCGCCTTACCAAATCGTAAAAAAGTTCCCCCCCCCCCCCCCCCCCCCCCCCCCCCCCCCCCCCAAAAAAAAAAAAGAAAAATCGTAGAAAAGAGCTTGAAGAACGTGTGGAAAAGACAGACAACAGTACACTACCGGTAGTCACTTCCTGACACTGAAAAGCGTCAGATCAGCGGGTAAAAGGCTCCCCCAGGTACCTGCCTCCAATGCTGAATGATGCCCATCTGTAATTGCTGATAAGAACAGATAAAGAGAGAAGGCAATAACGTTAGGGGCTCTGCGTACTCACAAGCGCTCACAGTTCTGTGCAGAGTAACGCAGGCTGACTGACAACAGGCTGTTGAAAAGATCACAACCTGAGATTTTTTCGCGACTCAAAATGGGAGTTCGCGCCAGAAGACGAGAGCGCTCCCTCTCCCGCACTTCCATCCGCGACGGGAAAGCCCGGAAAGGGGGCAGATAGGGAGGCAGAGGCCTCACGCGAGGCGAGGAGCACGGTCTTCATCTCCCCTGATCACACGACGTGCCTTTTTCCCTTTCCATTCCAATGCCCGCAGCAGGCATGTAGAAAGGGGTTGGTGTAGTTAGGCGACGCAACTTTGTCATGGGGAGAGGGGGGAACGAAAGAACTAAGTCGTGTTGTCTGTGGATGGAGCTGATTTCGTTTTCATACGCTGGCGGATGATGGAATCCACGAGGCGAGCCTCGTCAGAGGCAGCAGAGAGGGGGCTGGCGGGCTCTCTAGAGGCGGGGAACGTGGTCGTGGTCTCCATCACCAAGTACTACGCAGGAACTTGTAGCCACCCTTCCTACGCTTGGCGAAGAAGGAATGGGGAGTTGAGTTGAAGAGACACGCCAATGCCCAGGTGACCAGTTGACTGGAATTGAGAAAAAGGCAAGTGCACTCTTTGATAACCGGTTCGAGACTCGGCAGCTCGAGTACAACACAGACTAACTACAATTACGCGTTGTCCCCTCGATACCTCCCTTGAGAAAAAAAGGCATGTACAAGTTTTGTAGACATGGGCCATACAGGAGGTGAGATGGCAACCACCGGGGCCAAGGGAAATGGGAGCTGGGAGGAGTACAGGCCAGAGGCAGAAAGGCAAGAGGGAGGAACGATGGAGGTTGTGGGCAACAGGATGCCATCGCAGGGGAAAGAGCGTATGAAGAATGTGCCGCTAGACGATCCTAGAGTACAAGGGGCAGCGGGGACATGGCAGGGAGACAAATGGGCGTGGGCGAACCATTTTAGCAGTGGAACGATGGAGGATCTTGGGATAATAGGAGCAGGAGGGACAGAGCAAGGGGAGCCAGGCATATCACAGATCATCCTTGCCGAGTCATCGTCGGTAAGGGGCACAGATATAAGGGTGGTTCCGACCATAGTGTCACACATGAACACACAGGTTGAGGAGAGAGTCCTTAGCGAGGGCAGTGATGTAGCTGCCAAAGAACGGAGGCAAAGAGGGGCTGTAGAGGGCGGACAACCTCTTCGCATAGATAGGTATCGCATTGAGGCGCACTGGGCTATATGCAGGTGAATAGGCTATAGCATGCATACTGGAGTCGTCTCCGTACAGAGCATGGCCCCCCTCATCATGCCAAGCCCATTTCTGCTCTAGTAGTATATATGTGCGCCGCCAAAGCCAGACGGAGAAATTACAGACATCCAGGAAGTCTGCACGGACCTCAAAGATGGAGACGAACACATATCCACATATCATTGAGATGGCTCGTCAAGTCCGAGATCCATAGAATCTGATAGGTAGACTAGTGTCTGAGAGGAAGAGGGACGTGCGTGTGTGTGTGTGTGTGTGTGTGTGTGTGTGTGTGTGTGTGTGTGTGTGTGTGTGTGTGTGTGTGTGTGTGTGTGTGTGTGTGTGTGTNTGTGTGTGTGTGTGTGTGTGTGTGTGTGTGTGTGTGTGTGTGTGTGTGTGTGTGTGTGTATGTGTGTGTGTGTGTGTGTGTGGGTGACATTTTATGGTGTTGTGGTTGCATGTGTGACACTGTCAGTGCGTTGTGTATACGGTCTGAAGCTCGTCTTGTGATTGTGTGCGTGGTGTGTGACACTCTGCATCTTGCATATAACATACAAAGTCCTTAGGTCTCAGCTTGTGTCTAAGTTCATCTCTCCTTTCCTCCTCCTATTTTTGTCCAGTTCCATCCGATTCGATAGGTGTGGGTATGGCTGTATGAATCGTAGTTGTCTGTCTGCAGACAGATATTCTTCCATTGTCTGTCGAGAGGGTAACTGTGCAGAATTTGACGTAAAGGTTTGGGAGTGTGACAGAGAGACGGAGAGCGGGGAAGGACTCCCATGGTAGGTGTAGTGAGTTGCTTCTTCTTCACTGCACTTGCTTGCACCCCGAATGTGCGATCCAGCTATGGCATCGTCATGAAGTGCTCCAAAGACATCGACTTTTAGGGAATGATCGACCTTTTCCTCTTCTCGATCAGCGATGGCAACAAGGAGAGTCATTGAATACTTCTCGCAGCAGTCGATATGCGAGCAAAGTCGCTCGAATGTAACGATTCCCTGGGGCTATGGGTCAATGAAACATTTCCAAGAAGTGCACACAGCCCAGAAAGAAATAACGGCGCATTAAAACCATGAAAAACTTCGCCCAACTCTACGCACCCTTTTTCCCCACCTGTCACCTCTCCTCCTCCACATGCTCATCCCAGCAGGACTCCTGCATCCTGCTCCCCTCCATCATCGACGTTTCTCCTCACTTTATGCTCCTGCAGATAGCAGCACGCAATTTCTGTCAGGGAAACAAAAGTGCACGATAATGATCAACAGGAAAGCAAAAGGAGGGACAAACACGTGAAGCAACGGCGGAAAATCTCTCTCTCTCTCTCTCTCTCTCTCTCTCTCTCTCTCTCTCTCTCTCTCTCTCTCTCTCTCTCTCTCTCTCTCTCTCCTCTCCGATTTCCCTTCTCCCCTCTCTCCTTCCCTTCTCCCCTGGCCTTACCTCCCACGCAATCTCATGAGCGAAAATAAATCGCAGCGTACCTAGCCGTGCTCTTTCCCGTCCACATCACTGGTCCCTCTCTCCCTCCTCCCCCTCCTCCCCCTTCCTTCCCTCCCTCCCTGTCTCTCTTACGTGCATACACTCCCATTGGCGCAACGCCAGTACCACTCTCCTCGTGTTCGTTCCCCTTCCGCGCCCAATCTCTCTCTCTCTCTCTCTCTCTCTCTCTCTCTCTCTCTCTCTCTCTCTCTCTCTCTCTCTCCGCATCACTGGTCCCTCTCTCCCTCCTCCCCCTCCTCCCCATTCCTTCCCTCTCTCCCTGTCCCTCTTCCGTGCATACACTCCCATTGGCGCAACCCCAGTACCACTCTCCTCGTGTTCGTTCCCCTTCCGCGCCCAATCCCTCTCTCTCTCTCTCTCTCTCTCTCTCTCTCTCTCTCTCTCTCTCTCTCTCTCTCTCTCACACACACACACACACACACGCACACACGCGGGGCCGCGCGCGCGCGCGCGGACACACACTCATCCTCTTCCTCCTGGTCTTATTAGCCTTCGACAGAGAGAGGGAGGGAGAGAGAGAGGGACGGAGCGAGACACAGAGTGAGGGGCCGACGAAAGGAGAGGCTTTCGTGCGATAGGGCATCAGTGCCTCGGGTGTCAACACAGCTCGCCGCGGAGTGTTACGGCGTTCCAAGCCGCTAATGTGTGTCTGAAGGGGCGTGCATATCAGAACGCACGTCGGAGAGCGCCCACATTCGATATTCTCGAGTCCAATTGAGGCACATATTGACTTTGTGAGCTCGCATTTGAAAGCGCGCGCATTGGCCCACGTGCTGCCTACCCTAGTGCCCACGGTCCAGCCTCGTGGAGGACGGGAAAAAGTCGCGGCTTTCTGGCAATAAGCCGGTACTTCGATCACGTGATTGTCACGTGAGCGCACGCGGCACGATTAGAAGACCACTGGACGCATAATACATTTGCCGCAGTACGGAACGGAATACGTTTGCCTTTTTCTTTTTGCCTCCGCCTTTTTTGGCTTGGGCGCGGAAGATTCAGGCAGCGACCTCGCTCGCTGGGTACAGTTACAGGTTATTAGTGCTTTTTTTTTTTGTTGGTTTTTTTTTTTTTTTTTTTTTTTTTTTTTTTTTTTTTTTTTTGTTCTTAGTTCTTGTAACTATACTATACTATAGTAAGTAGGTGGCTCGCAGACCTGCGATTGGCCGGAGGGAGGTAAGTGTCGGTTGGGCAGCTCCGGGGCGGCTCGGGCGGGCCTGCCGGGCTTCGGGCGAGATTTGCGGCCCGCCCGAGCTTCGGGCGAGATTTGCGTTTGCTTAGCCGCGCGCGGGGTTGGGACGGGACTGTCCGGTCTGACGAAGCATATTGCCTTTTTCCGGCCCGCGCACTACTGAGGAAGCACCGCGTGTCCCTGCGCGGGGTGACGGGGCCGGGTAGGCAGCGAATTGCGGGAGAGATTTCGATTCGTTCTTACCGGGCAAGTTTTCAGGTGCGCGTGCCAGTGGCGGGGCGTGGAAGTAGAAGGCGGAAATATGCTAGGAAGAGGACGAGGAGCAGCAGTGTTGTCGAGAGTCGGTGTGATGGCTCGAATGTGACGCTCCTCACGTATACGTCTCTCCTTTGTGTTCCAATCCTCTCTCCTCTCTCCTCTCTCGGGCCTACCGTAGTCTAGAGAAAAAACGGAGGTGTCAACGTAAATGCAGCCAGCCGAAAATCCCTGTCATCGGCTGTGATAGGAGGATACGCAAAGGATTGATGAAACTGGTGTAGCGCGGTGAGTTGAGTGAGGGAGAGAGAGAGAGAGGTGGAGGGAGAGGCTGAAGAGGTGCATCGTCTTCACTTCGTAGAGTTAGCCAAAATACTTGGGAAAGAGTTGGAATCATACGTAATACCACTTTTACTAGGAGTTTTTTTTGTTTGTTTTTTTTTGTTTTGAGCACTAGCTGAGGCAGCAGCGTGTTTGAGCAAGATTCTGTAATTAAACCCACCTCTTATCTTAGAGTTTATTTTTGTTTGGGCAAGATGGTGTAATCAAAGGGGGCGGCAACGAGCCAGTCGAAGAGTAGGTATTGATCAGAGGACATAGAGGTAGAAGGTGTGTGTGCTGGTCATGCCTGGAGTCTCCCATGAGGGAAGGGAGGGAGGAAGTGGGGGAAGGACGGGGCGGTGCCGGGCAAGGTGATGATAAGTAGGGGTAGAACAGGAGATCAAGAAGGCGAAGAGTAGGAAATAGGGTCCGTTGCGCGCGCGTGCGTCGAAGCGAAGAGGTTTGTCACGTGGGTTCCAATCCCGAAGAATTGACTGCTCTTGTCACCTGCGCAGGGTTCTCTTGTCGATCCGGCGTCTGTTGGGTAGTACTTTACGTGATTGGAAGAACTGGCAGCAGCGTGGGGAGAGCAAGGATATCGCGCCTGAGCGGAAGATAGTGAGAGCGTGCGAAACGTTGGTGGAGTAGACAGTTGAGGGGGTGGCTGGCATCCTCAGGCCAGCAAGATGTGTAGGGAACGTGGGCCTGATGACTTTCGGCCTCCCCGTATGGGGCTGGTCCGAGCGGATATGGAGGACGCTCTGCTCCAAGCGTCGGTCCGGAAGAAGGCCGATGATGCTCTTCGGGCGGAAGTGGAGTTCCGCAAACGGAAGTCTGGCGATATTGCCGGTGCTATGGACTTGGATCGAGCCGATGTCAGTTGTGCCAAAATGAAGCGGTTTTGTCCCGTCTTGAAGTCGGATCGTCCAACGAACAGGAAGAAGGCTGGCATCCCTCCTCCTCCTGCTGCTGGGGACGCAAAGAAGTCGGGAACGGAGTCGTCTGCTGAGTGGTCCCTTTTGGAAGAGTCTGCGGAGGGTAGTACTCGAGCCCCCAGTTTCAGCGTGTCCACAGGGCGATTTAGTAAATCGTCGAGTGTGAGCGAGAGCGAGGGGCAGGGAGCGAATTGGAAAGAAAGTTATTCATCCGCTGATGACGAGAATTCCGATGGATGGACCAAAGGAGGAGGTACGACAGGTGTGTCATTCACTGATTATTCTCGAGTGCCATGGCCGTCGGAAGAGAGGGGGGGCGCGGTGGGGGCAGGACAAGTGGGTGGTTTTCTCTGCGAGGGAAGGAGGAGGAGAGGATCGTCGGTGGCGGCTATGGGCTTCCCTTGGGGAGGGAAGGCGGTTGGCGGATCAGGTCCGCGGCCAAACGAAACAGACTGTGAAGGGAACTTTGGGCTTTTCAGAAGGGTGGCAAAAGACGGACATCCATGCCTTAAAAGACTAACGAATGATAGTGGGGCCAGGGGAAGTACGCAAGGAGCTGATCACAACAAGGAGCGGAGAGAGCGGGGTGTTCCTGCAGAGAATGTGAATGTGCAGGTACGGAGGAAAGATGGTCAATCGGAGGAGTCCGGAGATGGGAGGGGGGAGTCGTTGGCAAACCGAAGCCAATCTGACGATTCCGGAGAGGTGAGGGCGAAGATCTCGTCCTTCAGTAGAAGACAGAATGATGGCGCCGCTCGCTTGCGCTGGAAGGACGTGCAAGCGTCTACGGTCAGCACCGGCGAAATCACAGATGGGCGGAGTGATGAGCAAAGAACGACAGGAGCATCGGGGAGAGCAGATGCGAGAGATGATCCTGGGGGAGGTGCTGGTCAGTTATGCTGGGGTCTAAGTACTGTGAAGCGTGGCCGTTCGGAGTCGGAGGACTGTACTAGTTCTGAGCTCCAAGAGAGCAGGAGTGATTCTCGTGCGAACGAAGTGACCTCTGCGGCGAAGGATGACAAAAGACCCAGGGATTGGAGAGCTCTGGGCTCCGGCATTGGGGGCGCAGAAGAAGGAGCCAACTTCTCTTTCAGGGGATTATTGTCTTCGGAGGATAAAGGGAACGACTTGCAGCAGCAGGTGGGGTCGTCGACAATCACAGAAGAGGGGGAATCAGATGCCAAAAGTGGGGAAGGTGCTGCTAATACCGAAAGCACAGGTCCCGTGAAGTTTGTGTTGTCTTCGGGGAGAAAAACTGCGTACGGGGATCGTGATGCAGATGGAGACGCAAGAATGGGCAAGAAGGAGTTGACCATTGATGAGGAGTTTGAACTTCATTTTTCTCAGATGTTTATTTAGAATTATTCTCGTGTCGCCGAAGATGCCCTCCCTGCTTCATCCGCTTCTGTACAATCAATGTCAAGCGAGGTACCAGAATGAAGTTAGCAAATTAATGCAAGGTACTTTGGAGACCTTTATTTCCTCTGTCTAGTTCTCTGTTTGTTCTCCCCCAAGCCCTCCCCGCCCCCGCCCCTCCCCTTCCCCCTCTTCTCCCAAATTTTCGATTTTTGTTAGGAAGTTTTCGTTTTCCAGTTGGATGGATTGCTGATGTGTGCCATTCACTTTCACTGATATCCATGTTTGCATTCGCTTTTTCACTGATTGGTAGTGATTACTACGAATCAGCCTTTCCTTTCATTGTCAGTGAGATCTGCAGCTGCTTTCATTGATAACCATGTTTGCGTTGTTGTATTTTCTCACACATGGGAGGGCTTCCATTTTGCCCGTCTTCCCGTACGATGGAGGAGTGTTGTTGTGTGTTCTCGCCTTGACAGAATGCATCTGCCAGTGTTCGTTTTTCCTCTTTCTTTTTTTTCGGTATGAGGGGCGACAGCCTTGAGATATCGTTGTGGACCTGACCGGCCCTCGGCAATTCAGGAATTCCGTTCATCTGGTTCCATCTGGATTCGAAACTCACGTCTGCATTTCAGTTGAGGTTTATGGACGATGCTCTCCGTTGGCAGATGATGATAGAATGCTTTCTGCTAAAACTTTTCGCAAACTGCCAACCAAGCGTTGAAAGCTTTTGTCCATGGTGTTAGCTTATGATAATGACTGTGATTGCACTCTGATTCTGTTTTTTTTTGTTGTTTTTTTTTTCCCCTTTTTGATCTTCCTTTCTTCCCTTGGTCCCTATCTTTCCTACGGTGGCATCGGAGGAAGCTGGCGAAGCTCCTATACCCAGGATCAGATCAAATAGTGCCTTCTCTTCTTATTAGACAGATGGATGTCCATCTGCGAGAGAAGGCAGAAGTTCTCTCTGAGAGTAACGCATGTTTTTTTTTGTTTTTTTTTTAATGACTGTAGTGACGGACACGTTTCTGCGAAGTGCAGCCTCATTTTTCCATTGGGTGTGGGTTGTTGATTGATTGACACCCGAACTACTTACTGCTCATTGACTGCTGTGTCTTTATCACAGTCATCCTTCTTCTCTCTCTAGGAAGGAAGGCCCACTTTTTTTTCCGGGATCATGGAGCTGTGATGTGATGTTTCGTTTGCTGTAAGATACCAGAGCTGTCTGTCTTTGGGGATACCAGTGGAAACATGGATGTTTCATTTCATCTGCCTGGAAGGAAGGAAGGAAGGCTTGTTTCCCGGACTTTCAAATGACTGGCTTTTAAAAAAAAAAAAAAAAAAAAAAAAAAAAAAAAAAAAAAAAAAAGAGCACACATCCTACCTGTTCTCCTGAACACCCCCCCCCCGTGGCGGCGGACGGAACATTCAGTTTTTCCATGAGCAATCGGTTCGCCCACGCGTTCCAGTCCTTCGATTTTCCATAGGCCGACGGCCTGGATTGGTGACTGATCTTAAAAACGTTTCTGACTGGCCAGCAATCCTGACCGTCTACCCAACCCAGTAGAGACTCGCTGAGGACCCGGGTGCAAGATTTCGTACGTTGGCGATTTCTATACTACCGGTAGTTGTTGGGAATGGGTAGCCCTCCCTATGCGAGTTTGATCAGGATGGAGGTCCAGGCCCTAAGGTAAATGTGCCTAACATGATGCCAACGCCTAACAGGATTAGCCATCAAACGCTGCGCCGCCTTTGGACAGCGAATAGTCACTGGGGTTGATAAGCGTCGGTGGCCTGCAGGAGATGTCCTGCCATAGCAAAATAAACAGTTGAGCTTTGCTTTGCCTTCAGATGTATACCATTTACGACATCTGAGGCTAAACGGATAAAAAGCGCAGTCCTAAATAAATAAAAAAATAAAAAAATAAAAAATAAAATAAATTGTGGTTTTAAAGTGTGGATAACCATAAGAGGTTTGTGATGAATGCATTTTCTTGACAAGCTCACAATTCCCACATGATGCATAAAAAAAATAAAAATTGAATGTGTCACAGTGTATGTCGTCGGCATGAAGTAGCATTTAGAGTAGAAAATAGACAAAGGTAGAGAGAGAAGAAAGCTTGCAATGACAGGCAATGAATACGAACTCATCGACTCCTCCACCCACCCTCCTTCAACCTCCAGGCTTCTTCCTCTCTGCTCGCCACCTCAATGGTCCAACCTAACCCTCTACAGATGATGATGGTCATGCAGCCGATGCCTCTTCCAGTAGCAACTTGCCAATATACCCCTCAACCCTCCAGCGTTATATCAACTGGCGCTGCGGAGGTTACTGCTCTGAACCAGCACTGCCAGTCTTCTAAAGCCAGCCGAGGTCTCTCCAGCAAGCAATCACCACCAGGTAGCTCACCCAAGCTTATCTCTCACTCTTGCCTAGGTATGACTCTCTCTCTCTCTCTCTACCCCGCCGCCCCCCTGGCACCAGCGCTGTGAAGCAGTGCTTCAGCTTCAGAATCAAACAGCGTGAGGTAGAGTGAATGAGTTGGCTGGGGCAGGCAGCTTATTTGTAGTGTTGACCCGGCCTGGGCTCCTTCCCTTTTGCCTCCGCAAAACGGCTGAGATTTCTCCATCTTATGCGGCCCAGATTTGTTGTTGGCTAATGTGTGCCTGCACCCAACGGGACTTGGAAACTTCTGGAAACTGCATATTGAGCCTTTGGATGTCTCTGAGATCTGTGGCCGTGGTTAGCTGCTGAGAAATCTTTGACTCTTTGACTATTGACTCCTGTGCTCGACTTGAGCCTGACTGTCGACTTTCCTAGAGTCTACCTATGGTAGCAGGGGGGGCACGGGGTGCCTTATTTAGTACTTTACCCAGTACTCTCTGAAGGACTTTTTGATGCTCTTTGAAAGGCTGTAAATGTGATTTTTAACCCCTGTAAATGTGATTTTTGGCCCCTGAACATTGACTGGACCAAAAGTTACGACCTTTGACTGAGTCTGTGTGGCTTTGAACTTGGTTGTTTGCAGGCGCAATGAACCGCACAGATTGATGCAGTTTTCTGTGTATTGCTGATTGCTGGTTTGACTTGCCGAGATTTGTGCGTCTTGAGTGAGAGTGCTGTTTGCTTGTATGTGTCTAAGTTTCTATGTGATGTACTATCTCTGTTCGCGCACTGTGTTTTCTGTGTCCTAGAAGGGGTAGATCGGAGATAGCAAACCACACAGACTTCTAGAAAGCCCAGAACGGACAAGGACATGAGTAGAATTTGGCAAGCACCCGGTAGGGATTTTCCAGCAACTCCAGTAGTCCCAAGTGGGAACTGGTAAACTAAGAACAGCCTGGTATAGCTTCCAAAGGGGTCATGAGTAGCCAGGGGCCGTACCTAGTTAACTTGTAGGTAAGGTTCAGATCCTGAAGTAGGATTGCAGGCTGCGGTGCTGTTCCGCCAAAAGGCAGGAACTTCCAGTAGCCCTAGCGCACCGGAAGAGGCAGTAGTATCCCGGCCAAGGAAGACTGGAGGCCGAGTTGCAAGAGTAGCCCCAGCGCACCGGAAGAGGCAGTAGTATCCCGGCCAAGGGAGGCTGGAGGCCAAATTGCAGGAGTATATCCTCCTGCAGCAATAGTGAGGCAACACCGTACCTGGCAGTCATGCTGTTCTCGGCCTGAAAGGAAAGGCGAAGTTAGGCGGAGCTCTAGATGAGTGGTGGAGCTGGAGGGTGAAGGAGAAGATCTCCATGGCTATGGAGTAGTAGTAGTAGTAGTAGTAGTAGTAGTAGTGTAGTAGGGTATAGGCCTAGGTTATGGATAGGCTATAGGCCTAGGCTATGGAGGTAGAGGGTGAAGGACCTCAAGCCAGGCTATGGAAAAGGGCACAGGAGCAGAGTAGTAGTTGAGGAGGAGGAGGAGGAGGAGGAGGAGGAGGAAGGAACCGACATGGAGGGATCGCCTTTGGCTATGGTAAACCATCTTCATTTCGTTGGTTGGGACTGCATCGAGAAGGCCCTTGTGTGGGTATAGGCTAGTCTTGGACTTCAGCCAAGAGTGTGGCTATGGCAGAATGATATGAAAGGGGGAAGGTAGTAGTTGCGTCGTCCTCTGAACGTCCATGATGGACGTGGGTGAGTGGCCATAGCTAGATATGCAACCGAGAGCAGAGAAGTGAGAGTGAGGCTGAAAGGAGAACTCTTTTAGTGCGGGCAGTAAGGGGGAATACAAGGACATGATTCCTGTTCACTCATTCATTCGTTGTTGTAGAGGGGGAAGATATTGGTTTCAACTGGTGTAATTCTTCTGCTTCTATCCTCCGCATTTTCTCTCTTTCCACATCTTCTTTTCAGTCCAGCAAGCCTTGCATTTTCTCACGTTTGAGTTTTGCATCATGGATAAAAAACGGTCATAACAATTGGTATCAGAGCCAGACCTTACTTGCTAGTGATAGGTGTTCATTGTTCAAGCAACCCTAACCCTAAGTCCGAGATAACAACGGCAACTTAATCTCGGATTAGGGTTAGGTGGTTTAGGGTAGCGGGTTGCTTATGTGGTGCCCTAACCCTATTTCTGAAAGGTGTTGGGTTAAGTAACCCTTGGATTTGGGGTGAAGAGCTGGTTTGGCAAGTGACTTCCGGCTTCGCTAACCCTAATTCCCATGGGTGTTTGGATCTTTGATACCTCGGATGAGGGTTGGGATGAGGATTAGGCTTGGTGAGATTAGGGGAGCACTGCGTTGTAGTGTGCGTGCAACAGGAGGACGTCGGGATGTTCAGGTCTGACCAAGGTGGCTTCTTCTTTAGTTAGCGAGCACGAGAGACGGGACAATAGCATCAAGGCCGTTCAAAATGGTTACTGATTGACTTTTGTCATCTTCATGAGCAGTGGAGGTGACCTGCATAGAGATGGACTACCTTCATCCCCCAAATACAACGTACGGTCATTGCAGCTGTATTTAGATTGAAAGATACCCCAAGTACAGCTATAATGACCGTACGTATTTGGGGGAAGAAGGTAGGCTCGGTGCACTTTAGGGTCGGAACAATCCCACTTAGGGGTAAGGGAGATAGTGGAGGTTGGCGTACTTCATGAGTAAGTCAGCTGGCTCAGGTAACTATCCATGTACCTATGGATGCCCCTGAATGTTTGGTTGCATGAATGCCATGCTTGTGGATGTTTGTTGATCACTTGTGCTCGTTTTGCTGCATTATCTAGCGGAGAGTCTGTGTTTTGCAATCTGTACTAGCTCGCCACGCTCCAACATCAACTTGCATCGAGAGGGGATCTTGGTGTAGTCTTAGTTGATGAAAGGATGCTTGCTAGGCGAGTCAAAGTTGGACAAATATCGTATAGGTTAGGATCCATCTCCCGAGTGTGGGAAAGTGATCCTGAAAGGAGGAGACTTTAAGCTTCCCGCCAACCCATGATAGTCGGCACGAGGAGTGAAGACTAGCCAGGATGGGTATATCAGGAAGTTTCTTGGAGGGGAATCAAAGAAAGACCGCCTTTTGTGTGACATGGACGGATCAGCCTTGCTTTCTGCAGTCGTGTACCCTTTTGATTCACCACCTCGACCTGTTGTTCCCTGATCTGATCCCATGGTAACTTACACCGCCTCAATCTGTTGTTCCCTGATGTGATCCAATGGTGACGACAGAGCCTCACAATTCTGGGTCAGCAGGAAGTCGATTAGAATTTGGTTTTGGTTTATTTTGGTTGGACTGCATACTGTTAAGTTTCCGGTTCTGA